AATAGCGTGAATGCAAAAAAAAAAAAGGAAGAAGAGATAAATGAGAGGATATAATAATCTTTTTAAGTTAAGGGTGTGGTAATTTTGGAAAGAGATTTTGAGAAATAGTATTTTTGGAAAGGCTTTTTGTCAAAAATGCTATTTTGGGTAATTTTTTCTAGTTTAATTTTCATTGTAAAAAAAAGGCAAACAAAAAATAGGAAAAAAGTTCTATATGCCTTTAACGCTTAACGTGAGCATGATACATAATAAAAATTATGACTCATTAAATCGTAACATATGGCTAATATGGATTAGATGATGACATGCGTTAATAATTAAAATTAATTGATAAAAAAGTAAAAATAAAAATGAAAAACGGACAAAATAATTATCGAGTTACTAACCAAATAGTAAAAACTAAAATTCTTATAGTTCAAATTAATTAGAGAAAATAAATTCCAATAGTCCAAACAAACTATAAAAAAATAATAGTTCAAACTAATTATAAAAATAAATATATTCATTCAGGAACTAATAACACGGATATAGTTAAGTAGCAAACCAGTCGTAAATTAACCATATTATTCTTATATCAATGGTTAAACATGTTTAACAACCTAATTCTTTCAGGTTATGAAAGTGAAAAGGGAAACAAGCCGCAGAAGTTGATACAAAGCTCATCCAATGTAAATCTAGCAAAGGAAGATTCCTAACTCGAATTCACTTAATAATATAGTCAACCAACTCTCGTAGTGAAGACTAATATATCAATCAACCTAAGTACTCGACTCTCGCAAAGCAATCAGATGGACGGTATGCATAAAAAGGATAAAGATTCGATATGTTAACAAGATCTTTAACACGACTCTCGCAATGATAAATTTCAAGCTCATCTATACTATTTCCAATCAATAAATTATGAATCCCTAGCACGACTCTCATAATGATAAGGTTCAAATTCGTTAAGATCCTAACACGGCTGTCACAATGATAAGGTTCAACTTGTAGAGATCGATTTAGATATAATCACAAGTTGGTTAAATTAGCAATATGCAGGAGATGAAAGTATAGATGAAGAATCCACTAAATTCCTAAGCATAAAATATTCCTATTTATCGATCCATGAATAACTCTCTTTAAACCCAACAATCAAACTACTCAATCAAGTGAAGATCATAACAGGAGTAGAATGAAAATATATTATTAATAAAGAGAGTTTAGAAAGCTTTTCTCTGCTGGTGCAAAGGTTGGAGGATTTCTCCTTGAAGATCAATACGTAAACACTTCCTAAAAACCTACAACTAAACGGTTCGAGCCAAAGGCTCTCCCCCAAAGGGAAACTTGTAACTATGGCGGTGGCTGTGAAGGTGGTGCTAATTTTTGTGGCCTCCTTCTGTTTAAATAGGTGAGGAAGTCGACTAGATATATCCCAAAAAGATTTAGGGATATTCATCAAAGATTTGGAAATCTGCCTGTTTCCGTATTTTGAGCGTATCTTCAGACAGTCCCGCCGGATTTCCACGATCAAATATTCTGTGTGAAGCTGAAATACTTTTCTATCTTGTGGCAAAATTTGAGCTCGATCCAACGGTGGAAACATTTCATCTAAGGCAAAACATCTGACGGACAAAATTTATCTTTTCTTTAAAAAAGTTGTTTCTACTCTTTTAGGCCCAAAATGCTCTAATTACCTACAAATGCTTTAATACCCATGAAAATGCTAGAAATAGCCATTAAATGTCAA